GTTGTTTTAAATGCCTAAAAATATTAGAGTTTTCATTCAAATGTAGAGTCAAGCATCGTAAAAGCGAGTTCGTAGTGTGACCAACATATTATTTAATCCGTTTGAAATACTATCTCACAGAGAGCACTTGAATTTGTAAACTATGTTTTGTTTTTGTTTTTTGCAAATGGCTAACGGGGAAAAAAATCATTGCAGATAATTAACTTAGATATACTAGATTTAGTATAGTATATGATTAACTTAATGTTTTTGCTAGGATCTGTCGTAGATATATTAGTATTTACTAATTTTTTTAATATATTTTCATCGATATAGGAGATTAATATATTTGGGATTAGTTGAAGCAGTATTATGTTTTATTTGCTTAGTAATGAGAATTCGAAGAAAGCATCTTATTTTTTCATCAACTATATTGTTTGGAAATAATTTTATTGTCTACCTCTCTCAATATCCGAGAAAATATACAACCTCCGGAAGTATTCGAAATTGACCCCCCCCCCGACACACACACACACTTACAGAAAAAATTGTCGTTAGATGCGATGTTCTGCCGGTTTGCATATTTTTCTTGAATAAATTTTCTCGCATATTCAAGCCGGTAGAAGAAAATAAATATACTGTTTAAAATAAACGTAGTGACTACTCAAATATGGATATCCAGTAAAAATAACGTTTAAAGTGATCAAATTTGTGTGTGTTTAAAATAAATAAGTCTTCTATTATTTTTCTCAAGATGGCTTTGCTCGAGACTAAATAAGATAAACAAAATGACTGATTTTTTTAAAAAATCCTTTAATATTTTATATTCTCCGCCACCTTAAGTTTCTGAGTGTCGAGATAGAAAATCCTTGAGAATGGGTAGAAATTTAATGAAGCAATTGTTTTATCCATGTGTTCTTTATCTTGAGAGTATCTAATAAATTTGGGTATGTAATCCCGACAGAGTTAGAAGTTATTGATATTTAGAAAAACGTTCATGAAAGTATGTTTCGAAAATAATATTCGACAACTCATTTCGCCTATATGGCTTCATCAGATCGAAGACAAAAAGGTGTTGTATGCATATGTGTGTGTTTAAAATAATTAAATCTTATATTATTATATTTCTTTGTGTATGTAATGAAATGATTATTAGCGTGGGAATTTGGAATCAGCATGCAGAGTTCAAATTCTGATTGATTATTTTGTTGACTTCACATTAATACCCTTGGAAAAGGTAAGAACTGATCTTCCTTCAGCTATGGGTTAAACTCTAGAACAAAATAGGCAATTTAGCATAGGTATGGCAACCAATTTAGGAGACGGATAACTCTGATTTCAAAATCAACCAAAAGAGAAATTGCCTCCTCCATTTTTACGTTATGCACTGGAACTACTCTCCAACTTCATGTGGTGCCCCTGAATAAATATTCATTAATCGAGCTCTCTCGTCAAAATATGACGACCATATTTAAATACTTTTGCCAACTACTTCCATTTTAATCATCAAACAGAACTTTTTCCAGTATTGCCGATGCTAACCTTCAGAACACTTTGGGCCTTCTTGGGCTCACATTAACCTCTGACATGAAATGGGGCGATTATATTGAAACAATTGCTAGATCTAACACAAGGAAACTTTGTCGTGACAGACAATTCTTCTCAGCAGAATCCCTCTTGCACATTTATAAATCTAACATTGGTAAGTGCATTGGATACTGCTGCCATATCTGGCCTGGTGATCCTGCTATATATTTCTTGACAAAATTCAAAGAAGGGTCTGTAATGTCATCGATCCTAACTTGTCATCTTGCCTTCAGTCACTTTCACGCAAACGTGACGTGGCTTCCCTCTGTCTTTTCTTCAAATATTTTCATGATTATTGCTTTGATGAGATGTTCTTCTGCAGCCCACGACTGTATGAATTTAAACGTGGTACTAGATTGGCAAATATGTCACGGAGTTTTACTGTTGAACTAGCTAGATGCAACCATCAGTTTTATTCGAATAGTTTCTTTTCTCGGACTTCTCATCTGTGGAACTCCACATTTATTGCGTCCCTGTCACCTACAATTTTTAAATGTAATGTCAATTGCAAAATTTTGTTTTCTTGAATCATGTCACCTTGTGCCTTTCTTCACTTCTCTTCACTAAAGTCTTCTCATTTTCTTTCACTCCCTGTAAGCTCATGCGTCTTAGTGGCATTATCGCCTTGCTTGGTGTGAAATGATTCAAAATATAATTGATTATATTTTCTGTCTAAGTAATCTGTACGATTAATGCTATTGTCGCATGTAAGAAATATTTTTGGCTTCATTATTTTTTTAAGTATCCACAAAAAGTTCTTTTTGTTTTCCATTTTGTAGAAAATTGCTTAAACAGACCGTAGATGGTATCCTTCTGTAGGATGACAACTCTATTGCCCTAGATCTCTTCTTCATCTGTAAGGAAATTGTCCAGCATCCACTGCCATATCGAGAGATTAATATTCCATAGCGGTGCAGCACTCTTCCTTTTGTTTTTAATATAACTCTACTGTTTTTCCTTTCTACTTTGCCTAGTTTTTGGATAATATATGTTGCTATTTCAAAGCTCCTTAAGAATCCATACTATATAAGCCAATAGTAAAAATGTATTTAGACAAACTCTGAGAAAACTATTGACCATATAATATCTGGGTGCTTTATCCTCGCCACTAATGAATTTAAATATAGACATGACAGGTTAGAAAAATATATTCTTTGTAACAATAATGGTAATATTAGCCTTTTCCTTATAAGGAAATATTTGTCATTCATTGACCGAGCAGCCAATATTGCTTCGTTTGAAATTTATAAAAAATCTTTCTCTTAAAATCATTGTTCAGGAAAATGGTATTTTTTTTTCAAGTCCTGTAATTGCTATCGCTTTTTGCAGTATTGACGGGTTTCATTATGTTGAATAATAGATAGCGGCTCGGATTGAGGAATCGGAGAGCCGTGTTCGAATTCTAGTCGAATCCATTACATTCACTTACGTGCTAATACCCTTGGGAAAGGTATGAATCCTCTTCTACCCCCAGCCATGAGTAAATAGGACAGACTGGGTTCTATAGCCTTGGATGGCAACTGGTCTACCGCAGAAAAAAATGGCAACCTACTGCAGGAAAAAATCTGCTTCATCAGTCATGTATCGAAAGGTACATGATCGCCTAAGCGTGTATCACGCATGGCACATAACTGACTGTGTGTAGAATGTCATCATCTTGATTCTATCATTATTTTAGCTTCGAGTTATCAGTACTATTTTAGCGGTTGATGTTGTTTGTACTCCTCAAGTGATGTGATTTTTTTTGCTATTTGGTACAGCTTTTCTTTCTGAGTATGTAGTGCCAGACCAAAATGCTCAAAGAAGGAATATCTTTGCCAAGATGTTTCAGTCGCTCAAAGGCTTTTTTTTCAGTGATCTTAGAAAACGGCTGTATACAACTGACAGATGAGATATTTTAACGGTTTGGCTGCCATGCGTGACATCCATATGAACGTCTCGATCTGACGAGGCAATGTAAAAATATCTCTCGAGTTCCCAGGCTGAAGTTTTGGTTTTGTAGCCTTTTGCAGTGTTGGGGGAAACTAATACTAACGCAGCCTATGAAATATTCAGTTTACTTTTCTCCTATAATATTTTTTAGAAATGATCCATACGCCAAATATTTGAAGTTTTTAGTATTTATTAATTGCTCGTACTGAGTTTGTTTATTTTTTGTTTGTTTGTTTGTTTGTTTGTTTTTTTTTTGTTTTTTTTTGTATTAATCATGTATTCAATGCATGTGCTATCACTCCTTTTGTTCCATTTCCAGATGATGGTTTCTGTTTTGGAATGTATATCCTGAATCCTATTTCTTGAATCAATTGGTAGAGGATGTTGGTTTTCTGTTCAAGAGTATTCTCATCCCAACTATGTCATCAGCATAGACCCCCCCCTCCTCGGCATCAGTACATGGGCCTCGAAAATGAAAGTAGGATTGTTGTCTTAGTTGAAGCCATCAAGTACAAATATCTGAAAAGAAGAGCGGGAATAAACGCTCTAACATAATCGGAAAACTTAAGCATATTTAAATCATTTTAGAAAATGAGTTTTTCTTTCAGCTGAAGACAATCTAAAATTGATGGAGACGGGTGAAACTTTTGTTGGATAGATTTGATCTTGATCGTTACAATGTAAATAACATTACAACATATTGCGAGAGTTAGTCCGCTAACAAAGTTGGGACTTTCGTAGAGAAAAAGTAAAGTGAAGCTTACAAACGGAGACTTGATTGCGTTTATAGTTGACGTCTGTAAAATTCGGTAATGTTCAGAAGTCAATATTTTCTATTAATTTTTATAAAATTGTGAAACTGTCACGAGTTTGGTTAACAATACCTTTGATCTTTGGTGACTTTGTCTGCTGTTGTTGTTTCATGGTGTCCAGTCTATGTGCCGAGGCTGGAATTCATCTCTTGTGTGCTGGGATAGAGTTTCTATCTGCCTTTGAAAGAAAAGGTATAGGACAAAAGATGTATTTGTGGAACAAGCGGGGGATATTTTTGGAGTCTTTTGATTTGTCGTAAAATCTTTAGTCGTAAAATCTTTTGTTAAGAGTCTAACAAATGTGAACTCTCCTCTTTTGGATTTTAAAAGAGCAATTTCGGAATGAGGCTAGTATTTTTTTTTTTATTTATCTTGTTGGCATCTGTAGACAGTTCATCATGTGGCGAAGTCATTAACAGGCAAAGTCGATATTGGATAATCGAGGCTCGTGTGAGATGCCTCAGATAATTTATTTTTGGTACTTATTTCGATGAAAATGGCAGGGGCAAGTAAGAAGATCAGAGAAAAGAGGATGACTTATAATTATGTGTACATGACTTCTTGGGTAAAAATTGAAAAATGAAAAGCCTGGGAAAAACTGTGTACTGGACAGGGAATTAGTTTTTAGAAGAGAATCGATGGGTGAATTGCCGGAGATAGTAAAGATGAATGGTGTCAGAGAAAGGTTACGAAAAGAGAAGAGAAATGATCAGACTAAAATAGATTAGAACAAACTGAGATAGATAGATAGATAGATAGATAGATAGATAGATAGATAGATAGATAGATATGAAAAGACTGAGATAGACAGATATGAACAGACTGAGATAGATAGATAGATAGATAGATAGATATGAAAAGACTGAGAAAGACAGATATGAACAGACTGAGATAGATAGATAGATAGATAGATAGATAGATAGATAGATAGATAGATAGATAGATATGAAAAGACTGAGATAGACAGATATGAACAGACTGAGATAGATAGATAGATAGATAGATAGATAGATAGATATGAAAAGACTGAGATAGACAGATATGAACAGACTGAGATAGATAGATAGATAGATAGATAGATAGATAGATAGATAGATAGAAATTTTCAGAAAATAAAACCTAATATAATAGTATTTCTTCAACTGCCCAAAGCAATAACGAAAAAAAAAAGAATGCAAATCCAGTTCAATTATCAAGAAAAAAATCTTTATTACAAATCAACTAAACAATGGTGCTTGCAAAAATTTGTCCCTTTTTGCTGAGAATAGGATAACCTATTCTTTGACTAACAAAATGTAAAAAAAAAATATATCAGAAAAACAAAACTTTAAAAATGACAATGCACAAAACAAAATAATAAAAAGATGGATCCCACCAGCTGTGTAAATGATAACAAAAAAGACCCTTGGCTCTATATTCCGCCTTTCTGCCCTTTCAAAATTCAAAACTTCTTTTCTTTATATATATTTTCTTTTCATTCTTTGGGAGACAAAGTTCTCTTTTCTTTGGTAACGAAGATCCTTTTTTTTTCTTATTATTTTCTTTCCGCCCGAATGGAAAGTTAGCCTTTCTTTTACTGTACGGCCGAGGAAGGGGAAAACTTCCTTAAAACACGCAGTAGTACAACTTCTTGTAAGAGCACGTGTTTGCTTCTTCTTCTTCTTCTTCTTCTTCTTCTTCTTCTTCTTCTTCTTCTTCTTCACTGTAAATGCCTTTAGTTCCAAACAACACTTAGGGAGTTCACAGTTCTTTCTTTACAGTAAACGTCCAGCTCATCTTTCCAGGACTTCTTCGAGCGAAGTTCTTCCTTAACTTTCTCTGAAGACTTAAAGGGAAACTTGCCTTCAGCTATTTAGTTACCCATGCATCCTTTACTCTTGAGAAATCCCGCCTGCCTTTTCACTAGGGAGAGAGAAACAAACCTCTTATTCCTAGGAGGTGTCGCTTCCAACTGCCTTCTACAGTCCAGTAGCTGTTCTCTCTTCCCCTTCAAAGAGGAATGTTGATATTTGAACTGACCAATCACAACCCATAAAAATATTAGCAGCTTCTTAAGGCCAGTAACACAGTGAGAGTCTTTTTTTCCGTTATTGCTTCGGACAGTTGGGGAGTGACTATTGTATCAGGTTATATGTTCTTTCAGAAAATAAAATTTCCGAAAAAGGCTCGGAAAGAGAAAAAGAAAGAAATAGACAAATGCAGAGAAAGAAATAAAGGCTAAGAAAGAGAAAAACAAGCAAAGAAAGTAAAAGCAAATATTTTGATTGAAAAATTAAAAAATCTAAGAAAGAAAGAAAGAAAGACGAAAAGAAAGAAAGACTAAAAAAAATAAATAAACTAAGAAAGTCTTGTTACTCTAGGACAGTAAGTTAGAAAGTTAAAGTGGACGAAGATCATCTTGAATTTGTTGTAAAATGATCCTGAAAAAATATATATATGTATATATTTGAAATTAATTTCACTCCTTCATGAGCTTCCGATCCTTAGCTATGATTAATTAATGATGAACATCTCATTTTCGTTTATGAACGATTTCTTCCGATTCTACTCTTAAGCTTGGAGTGTATTCATATATGAGTTGAGTTCAATAGTGTTTTTAAAATGTATGGTAGTCTCAGTATCTTTCTGTGGAACTACATTTCTCTTGCCTCAAATCTTTTCTTCATCTGTAATGAGATTTTTTAGTATTTACTGCCATATTGGAGGGCTGATATTACGGTTCAGTACTCTTTTTCTTTGGTCCTAACGGAATTTTGCTGTTTCTTAATACTTGGATTAGCTTTTGGCAGGCGACTTTCGCTATTTCAATGCGCCTTCAGATTTCAGCGTCACATTTTTCGTTCTCTGTTAAAATACTTCCGAGTCATGTAATTTATTTACTTGACGTTTTCGTATCTCCAGTTTATAACTCACAAGCTGGGCTGTTTCTTTTGCTGACAACCATATATTCTGTCGTCTTACAATTGCTAGTTAGTCCTTTCTTCTCGCTTTCCTTCACTACGTCCTGTAGGAGTTCCTTCAGCTTCCTTTGTTGTCTGCTATAAACACAATTCCGTATGTATATATAATGCTGTTAAGATTGTGTCCGCCAATAAAGAATTCGGGTAAGAGTTCTAATTCTTGACGGATTGCTTCATTGTAAAGTTTGAATGAGTCTGGTATGGATACGTCTTTATCTTACGGGCTTTTATCACTGGAAAAGATACGACCAAGTAAACGTTCGATAACATGGCTATTCTTCAATGACGAGTAGAAGATAGTTCTTTGATTAAGCAAGAAGCCGGAAGAGATTTCCACTAGTGGGAAGTGCAATAAAAGAAACTCTTAGCATAGAAATTACGATTATATCTAGACATTTCAACTGTAAAATGATGAGATCTAGCCTCCAATCTAGTAATGTGCTTAAATTCATAAGGTCTTGATACCACAGAGGAAATTTAATCAGACTGATTACCATGAACGTATTTGCAGAAAATTCTCAGGGGAGCTACATTACGGGTATAGGAAAGTTACTAAAGCCGAGATGCCTGGTCAAGACGAATAACATTGTAGATTCTTCTTTGGATTTTATGAAGAATCTCTAAATATAGAGCAGGAGCCCAGACCAGATGTAGCAGAAAAATTCGAAGCAACGGCGAATGGTAAACTTACAAATATTTAAGACCGATTAAGACGAGAAAAATTGTCTCGCACGAAATAATAAACCAACTTTCCTAGTTGCAGCAATTGATTCTATTCGTCTGTTTTACCTTTGGGGATTTGAGATCTTCCTACGAATTTATAAACGTAAATCTTTTATAAAACGTTCCCAATATCAGCGATCATGGATTTCCACAACTTCCTATTTCTTGTATCACTGAATAATGTTTGTCACCATATTATCTTTGCCACTCCCTGTTCTGCCATCTATTTACACAAACTGACTAGATACGTTTCAGGTGTGTCTCTCTCTCTCTCTCTCTCTCTCTCTGTTCCTTTTGCCTTAAAATATTTCACGCGAGTATCAAACTCTCCAAGCCTCTTTGCCTCTTTATGTCTTGATGAAATTCTCAACTGTCTCTTTCAGATACTTAGCAAAAGTATTTATTTCGTTCCCATCTCACTAAAAACTTCCTCATTGCACACATATTCCGTCTATGGCATTCTCTGTAGAACCACATCTTTGTTGCTTTACGCCTTCATCCCTATCAGTGACGAAATTATCCGTCATTTCCTACCATATTGGGGAATTGATATTACATAAAATTTTATCATTCGTGTCTTGGTTTCCAACTAAATTTTCCTGTTTTTTAATACGGTGCTTATTTTTTTGAAGGTATCTTTGGATTTCTGTGTCACAGTTTCAGTCACCTGTTACAACCTTATTACGTCTCCAATTTGTAACTTGCATTCTTGGCCCTCTTGCTAATGACCATAAAATCCATCTTTCTTCACGCCTTCTTTTATTTTCTGGAAGTGCCCTAAGTTCTCTTTCTGTGCCTTTCTATCAACAGTGTCATCTGTGTATCTTATGTTAAAATTGTCCACGCCAATGATAAATCCTGGTAGGACATGTATTTCTCTTAGAATCGCAACTCTGTAAAGGTTAAATTATTCCGGTGATACGATACATCCTTGTCTTATATCACTTTATTATTTTGTATTAATTCAATTCTTTTTCGATTCATATGTGAGCGGGTTTTTCCAATAAATATTCTTTGTTATTCAAATCTCTTTTGCAAATAAAATCTGAAATAAATGAAAAAAGTCAGAGATAAACCTTTCTGCCTTCTATCAATATGGCTGATGCTAACCTCCAGGAGAGTGACTCATTACTCCTTCTCAGACGAAGGCTTTCCGCTGAGATGAAGTGGAAAGGTTATATTCAATAATTGCTAGGCATGTTCCAAGGAAGGTTGGTTCATTGTGATTTGCTAGACAATTTTTCGCTAGAATCTTAGATATTTCTAAGTCTAACATTCGTCCATGTATTGAATATTACTGTCACATCTGGTCAAACGCTTTTGCTATGAATATAGAAATTCTTGATAGGATCCAAAGGAGAATCTGCAGTTTATTGGCCCTGTCCTGGCATCTCTGCTTTAGTTATGTTCTCTGTACATTTTGTATGAATAAATTCATGGTAATTATTCTGGTGAACTTTCCTCTTTGGTCCGTAGACTTTATGAATTTAAGTACAGTACTAAATTGGCGGCTAGGTCTCATCATATTACATTTGAAAGGCTAGATGTAACCGTAAGTTCTATGATAAGAGTTTCTTCTATCGCGCTTCACGATTGTAGAATTCTCTTCCGTTTTCTTGCTTTCCAGTCAAATTTGATCCTCAAAAATTTAAATGCAATATTTATCGTTATCTTCCGTCTTCTTAAGCCTTTGAGCCATGCGTTCCTGAACAACACTTAATCCTTCCGCCTGAGCTCCTGAGTCAAAATTCACAAATAATTGTTATGTAATGTTTCACGGTGGATATAAAAATAGTTACAAGTGTTTACCCACCGTTCAACCGGCGGTTGGGCATCAAGTCATTTATCTTTCCTACCGTTCAACCGGTGACTGGACATTAAGTCATTTTTCTCTACCACCGTTCAACCGGTGACTTAGCATTACGTCATTTTTCTCCCCCACCGTTCAGCCGGTAGCTGGGCATTAAGTCATTTTTCTGTACCACCGTTCAAACAGTGGCTGGGAATTACTTGATTTTTCTATACCAACGGTAAAGCGATGGTCATGGCCCAAAGTATAAATTCTTGTTCTTTTATTGTTCTTTCAGCTTACAAATGTTTTCTTTTTCTTATTCTTATAGTCTCACACTCAGTAGTGCCCCTTATGTCTTAGTGGTATGATTGTCTTCCTTGAGATGAAAAGATTTTTAAAAATAAAAAAAAAAAACACTTATTTTTTATATTTTGTTTTGGTCTTTCATGTGGATTTTGTCATTTTTATGGGTTTTTTCAGTGTTGTTACTGCTGCAATAAGAGAAAGAATATCCATAATCAATTTCAAATTTCCTAATCCTCATGATTAGTCACGTGATCAACATCTTAATCTAAATCTTAATCTATAATATACATACACACAGACACACACCGACATATATATTTATTTATTTGACATAGACGGGTGGGTTGTGTAGTGGTTATTGGCATGGAAAGTAGAACTCCCAAACTAAGTTTAATTTCCGGTCGATTCTGTTTCATTCACTAAAGGCTAATCTCCTTCGAAAAGTCATAAATTCATTTTCCTCCAGTTATAGCTTAAATAGCAGGGTAGACTGAGGTCTCTTATCTTGATTGGCAACCATTCTAGAAGAAGGAAATTTCAGAACTCAAACATGAAGTGCTGGTTGATGTCATGTAATTCATTCTCCAAGAGTGTGCAGTTTTCATCAATAAATATCGTAAGTAATAGATAGATAGATAGATAGATAGATAGATAGATAGATAGATAGATAGATAGATCCACTAAGACTCAAGAGGTTACTGAGTATGAGAAAACATTAGAAAAAGAAAAATTCCTATTAAGGAGAGGGAAGAATAAAAAAACAGGAATTAAGAGGAAATATGACATATGCCATTGCATTTAAATTGTTGATGATCAAAGTTAACTGGATACCAAAAAGATGGAAGAGAGTCCCTTAATCGAGAAGAGATAAAGAGGTTAATATAGAACTTACGGTCGCATCAAGACATTTCAACTGGAAAAGGATGAAACATTTCCGCTAATTTAATACTGCGCTTAAATTCATAAAGTTCAGTTAACAAAGACAGATCTGCAGAACAAATACCATGAAAGTATTTATAAAATATTATATAAAAATATTTATAAAAATATTATATAAAAATATTTATAAAAATATTATATAAAAGTATTTATAAAAATATTATATAAAATAATTTATAAAAATATTATATAAAAATATTTATAAAAATATTATATAAAAATATTTTTTTAAAAAGTCGCACGAATGTTAAGAAATTCAATTTCTAACAAATTACGCAACGACGAAGAATCCAGAATATGAAAATATCCTGCTTCTTTATAAAGAATTTTCATCGATCAGAATCGATCAATTATTAATTTTTCGAATGATTGATTACAGGATTATAATGATTGATATCTTGCTGCTGACCGCATGGACTCTGATAGGAAATATGTTAGAGATTATTTCTTTCTTTCTCTTCCTGTTACTTGACTCACCAACGACTCAGGCAATATAGCACAATCACAGTGTATAAATAAAAGGTCGACACTTTTATCTCTTTATTTTCTTAGAGAGATCTTTTGTTATTTCACCCCCAAACAAGGCAACAAAGCCACTAAGACGAAAGTGTTAGAGAATATGAGGAGAAACACTATTAAAGAGAGAGAGAGCGAGAGAGAGAGAGAGAGAGAGAGAGAGAGAGAGTAATAAAAGAACAAGAATTAAGAAGACAGAAGATAACGATTGACGTTGCATTTAAATTTTTGAAGATCACAGTTGACATGGAAGGAAGAAGCTAGAAGAGAGTCCAACAAGCGAGAAAGGCAATAGAAGAAACTGTTAGCATAGAACTTACGGTTTCAACTATAGAATGATGAAACCTTTCCACCAATCTCGTACTGCGTTTAAATTCATAACGTCTAGGTACCATAGAGAAATTCTAATCAGAACGATTACCATGAAAGTATTTCTAGAAAAATCACATGGGAGCTACATTATGGGTGTAGGAAGGTTATTGAATCCGAGATGTCAAGTCAGGACCAATAACATTGCAGATTGTTCTTTCTATTTTATCAAGAATCTTTAAATATAAAGCAGGAATCACAGACCAGATGTGGCAGCAATATTCAAATCAAGGACAAATGGTAGACTAATAAATATGCAAAGTAGATTCTGGCGGGAATAATTCTCTAGCACGACACGGTGAACCAACCTCCACAGATGCAGACATCCTATCAATTAATTTAATATAATCTTTCCACTTCATGTCAGCGAAAAAACGGGAAGGTGAAATGAGTCTCTATCTCTCTCTTTCTCTCTCTCTCTCTCTCTCTCTCTCTCTCTCTCTCTCTCTCTCTCTCTCTCTCTCTGAGGTTAGCATCCGCCATGCTGATGTGAGGTAAAAAGAATTCTCCTGGACGATTAATAAAAGCAGTTTCGTTTTGTTTGTCAAAATTACTCAGTTTAGTTTTTGCTTACCAGACATCGAGATTAATTAATCGTACCCCATACTGGCAAAGACCAGTCTCGTAAAACACTTTGATATAAGTGAGAATAGCATCATTGGATGAGTTAACTTTCACTAAGAAGAGGCTGGAGTATTGTCAGCCAGTCTCCAGTGTATTGTATCAGCGACTATTATTGGGAACGTTCACTGTGTGAAGAATTGACAAGTATGAATAGGTTATCACAAATGAGAAGTGGACAATACCAAGTTGTAAATCACGTGGGACATAACGATACTGACAGTGACAATCTGCGAGCACAATAATTCAGATTTAATCCTGCTGGACAAAAAGAAATAGAATTGCTGCTGGCTAACAATTCTCCTGTCTATTTGACATGAGAATTGAACAGCTGAAGATCGACAACTACAATGATTTAAAGTATGAAATTTTGAAACTTTGTGAAAAACTAACCAAAAGAATAATTGCAGCACCAGTGATAATTGGAGCACTGGGATGTTGTTAAAAATTAATTGAAAAATCTTGCAAGTATTGAATTCTGATTTAGAAATAGATCTATTACATCTGGCTTCCCTACTCGGAACAGCAAGGATATTTCGAAAGCATTTTATACGTCCTTATATTTTACAATAATATCCACCCTGTACAAGGCCCAATAGACACTCGAGGTTGATGGTTACAGAGACAGAGTTTATGGAGATATGTGGAGAAGATAACTGTTAACCCTAGACTTAAACAGGTTAAGACTTTTGTATTCGGTGAAGTTGGGAGTCGAATCCATAAAACCTTTGTTCGTGGGAAGAAGCTACTCAAGTGGAACTTCTCAGCAGTGGAATACGAAGGGAATGAAGGTGGCTCGCTAAAGTGTGCGTGACATGGCGGATTTGTTTGTTTGTTTCTTTAACCGCATATCAACATCCTTATGGGTCATTTAATGCCGAAATTTAATTTTCTTGCAAGCATTAGTAATTTCGTTTCCAAATATCTATCGCTGGTCATTTTAGATCAAAATACATTGCTGGTAATTTTTTTAATGTATTGCCGGTACTATTTTTACTATGAAAAGGTACAAGAACAGTCTACACCAGTGAGCGAAATAAAGTGTTCAGTTCGACATTCCAACCACCTGAAGGAGGCCGGAACGTACAACGACCGAAACGTTGTGATAAACATAGCGACAAAAATGACGACAATAGTCAGAATAATATAAATAATAAAAAGGTACTGTTGGTATTTTTACTATAAAAATATATCTTTATACTTTCATAGTGATTTGACACTAGTTTTACGTCAAAACACTATAAAAGTGGGTCGACCTGGGAACTGCGTCAATTAAGAGGCGGTTCAACGCTGCTCAACACCCTCTCGATCAGAGGCTTTGATGCCGGATGCGGTTCATCGTCATACCAGGACGAAGTGAAGGTTAGAACGGATGAAACAAAGGAATGTAACTTTTGTCTGAAGAATTTCCATTGAAAAAGCAAAATAGGACAGCGAGAGACGTACGCCCTGATGATGAATAAAAGAAATAGTCTTTTTTCTTTTCTTTCACTGACCTAAAAAATTCTTACCACCAACCAACATCAGATGCGCTGAATAACAATAACAACAATAACAACAATAATAATAACAATAATATCATCAATAACAACAATAATCTTTAAATAATTGAGCTTAACAACTGTCTATATTTCTGAGATGTTGTATTGTAACTATTTACATTATTTACATTATTCGGACTGTTGTCCTCATCTTTATTGCCATATTCACAATGTTTTGGGTGTTAAATACATAAAAGCGTTATCGCCTCCTCGATCTTTCTGCCTTTCTTTTTCTTACTAAAACTAAACTGCGTCTCTGTCTTTTCCGCCTTTCCTTGCGATAAAAAACAGAATAGTCCATTGTGAGAACTAAGTAGAGCGTATCTAAGGAAGGGAGAAGCAATTTACATTATGATAATATTAGCTGTACTATTACTGAAATAATATGGATTCCAAGTTAAGAAAATAAATTCCTTGCCATAAGATGGACCACCCGAAGACGAATGTTTACTGTCTTTTCATTGACAGAGGTAACGGTGATAAAGCTTAATTTAAATTTAGTTGAATGAAAAAAAAAAAACAAAAAAAAAAACAACTAAGAGTTAAGAAATATTTAGTCTCTATACCTGACTGGGAAAGGCATCAATACATCTTTTCTCAGTGCTAACTGTTGCTGTGGATTAAATGGCAGGGTAAACTGGTCGATCTTTCCTTGAAGGGTAACAATTTTATGAGAAAGAAAACCTCTGAATTGCAAACCGAGGAAACCGTAACAGTGAACCACTCCACTTCCCAGGAAGAAATGACAATTCACAGATAATAAAAGATGAAGGAAGCTGTGGAGAATCGTCATCGTCTATTAAAAGAAACGCTTGTATCAGACCGAAAAACTGGAACAAATAATATGTATGTATACAAGCCTATCGCTGCACTTTATTTCGATGGAGAGTCTTCAAATAACCTATGTCCTTGGTTCTACTAGTTAAGAACTTCACATTTAAAACCTACCATGCCACATACACAGGATTTAATCACACGTTCTCCATTTATATTTCACTAGAAGCATGGCCCGGCGTTGCCCGTGCTTGATTCAAAAATCGTACGACTCATACAGCACTGCACGCACTAACCTGTTTCTTCCCGCGCATAGCGTGACCTTAAATTAATCTGCATTTAGGAAATACCCAACCGGAAAAAACATTTTTAAGGGTTGATTGATTGTCCATTTGCACTCTGTTTGGGGGGCGCTCAGAGTTGAAACTTCACATGGTTACTCCCAATGGCCTCCTCATAAATCCGATCGGTTTTCGCTAAAAACCGACAAGCGGTTCAGGTGCAATCTGGGCGTATCGGCTTTTGGGTTTTATCGATTTTCCGCGCTGTTTAGGGGTCTGTGGTCATGAAACTTCTGGACAACTCTTCTAAAGGTAGACTCTAAGAAGGTGTCAAATTTGGTTGAAATGCAATAATTCCTTCTGTAAGCAGATTTTTTTCGATTATCGATTTTTTCGGAACCTGAGTCCGAACTGAAAAATCGGGCTGCGTCATGTCCTTAAGGCAGCCATTTGCCAACTTGTGTTGAAAACCGCATAGAAATCGGGTGAGAAATGCGGCCTGGGCGAGGTAACAACGCCCACGACAGACACACAGACAGACAACATAAGAAATATGAATAGTAGATTCGTAAAAAGGAAGTTCCACTCATATAATTTTTTCCTGCGAATCACTACTTTGTAAAAAAAACTCCTAATGGAATGCTTACCTGATCTTTACAATCTTCCATATTAATATTCTTTATAATAATGTATACCAATCGTTTCAGCTTCAGTCATTGTGCTGGTTTGATTATATGACGAATATGTAGTCGTCAATGTGCCAACTATTCATTCATTCGATAATTTAGAGACACAGTAAAACAATAATATTTGTCTTAGAATTGTTAATGGCAGAGTATTTCTTCCCCTTGTAAACTGAAACAAGAAGAAAAAAACAGTTACTACAGGATAATCTTTACTTTATAACACAGAAAACGACAAAAATTTTCACGGCTCTTGATATTGAGCTCCAAAATAGACCGTCTTTCCTAACATTTATCGATTAATTCTAATCAAAGTTTAATTGAATCGCGTGTTAAATGTGGATCAGGGCAAAACAAATTATCGCAGATTAATTACGGATGCTAAAGTCGTCTGAACTTGAGCAAATAACGAGTTATCTGATGAAAGGCCGAAAAAATTTTAATAAATTGCTATTTCTATGACCGGTCAATTTTTTTTCTTTCCAATAGAAAAACGCAATCAAAATTCCAAAAAGGAAATGATGTCCAACAGCACAACACATGAAACG